CATATGTATATCATCTAAAAAAATCTTTGATTGAAAAAAGTTTTTTGATAATAATTCTTACCAAATGCAACCATTCCGTTTCCATTAGTATCAAAGAGTTGAAAAGCTGTTTTGTATAAAGCGTCTGGTACACAGAGAAGACCTTCGAATGCTTGAAATTCGGCAAACGATATGAGACTATAATAAAAAAAATCAACTATATAGAGTAAATTCTTCCAAATACAATGCGAAATATTTTGTTTCTTCCTATTTCATAAATTAGTGATAAGATAACTGATTTGTGCATGTGCGTACATGCGTGCGAGTGTATCTATAAAATGTAGACAGTTTAAGAATTCTTCAATATATATCAAAAGGTATAAATATTTGCTAAAAATATTAAATATATTGTAAAAAAGTTGTGGCATTTTAAGCAATGCATAGAATAGAAATACTAGTATAATTTTGGATGGCATTGTCAAAATCACGATGAATTATAATAAATTATGAGAGAAGTATGTAGAAAGATGTAAAACAAATTTTCAGGAGATTTGAACTAGTTTTTTAATTTTTCCATCTTGCTTACTTTACGAGATATTTGCGTGCGTTGATTAAAATAACTCACCCTGTATATATATATATATATATGTATATACATATATATATCATTGATTTTATATTGATTATTTAATAATATCAGAAACTGTACTATCCCATAATATTATAAGTACATGACTTACCCATCTTTGCTAGTGTCAACGATACCAGCAAGTAAATTGACAGAATCGGGATTATAATCAGCATCCGTATAAAGGCCAAGGTAACTGCGTACGAAGTCAGATGAGGTCATAAATCTCTCACCATTCTTCTCCTGCGAGGCATACTGTAATTTTATGAAAAAAAAATTTAATTATCGTGTGCAAGCAATATATAAAAAAATATATAATAAAATTTATATTATAAATTAGATAAGTATAACACACACACAATGTTTAGAAATATTGCAGATGTACTAACTTGTGCCAATAATTTCATTAATTCAATGTAAATTATTTTTCTATGACGAATTACACGTATGTTACCGGAGAAATAAATAAAGTAATCAAAAGAAAATATTTTAATAACAAAAGAAATGTGTGTAAATAATTTTCTTACAAAAATATTTCTATAAAGAAAATGCTTAGACTTATGCAAATTTACTCAAGCATTTTTTATTTAATTACCTGGTTAAAAATTTCATGGAGGCGTTCAGTATTTGCGCGCTTCAAGTACCCGGAACCCTGAAATATAATATATATATTGATAGAATAATTGTTGAGATAATTAACATCGCTTCTAGAATACTATCCACTTGTAGACATAATATAACCAACAAATAACGAATGGCAAAGAAATATAAATCGACTAGCCGAAAAAGAAGGAGCAATGTTGATAGATTAATTGATACAATCAGTATCAGTTTCAATAAATTAAAAATGATACTCAAATAAATTAAATAGAGAAATCAATATTCTTACATTAGAATTTTGAATATATAATATAATCGATTTCTAAATAACTAAAATTTTTATTTAATTATAAAATATCAAAACTGATACACGCACTTGTACTAACGTTCTAGCAACACTGATAACGTAACCCATAAAAACACGTGATTGCTATCGCACCGGATAACAGTAATGCACCGCTTTGCATGAATAGACAGATGAGTGTACAGAATGCTTCACTATAAATAGTACAACAAGGATAAAGGTGTTTTACTTAAAAAATATAAATTTAATTTCTTTTATTTTCTATATGCGCGAGACGCCAATTTAAAAAAAAATTAAATTTGAAAATTTAAGATTAATATCTTCTTTTTTTTTTGCTTTAGGTTTGTCTAACTTTCAATATAATACTACCATAAAGTTATTAACTTTATTTCAATATTTATCAAAATATGAAAAAATACGATACGCTATTCAGTAATTTAGAATAATTCAAAATAAAGAAAATAATCTCTTGATATTATGCATAAATAACTTTTGTTCAATTATTTTAATTGTAATAAATATTTATCTTTATACGATTAAAAATTTCCCTCGCTGCTGATATATGTTTTCAAAATTATAATTCTGTGTACGTTTAAACAATTTTAACCATCACGTTTTCTCATTATTCGTTATTATAACTTATAGTTTCCATTTATGTAAGCTATTCTTTTTTTCGTTTCTAGTAACTGCTAAACACAGCATGCATAATAATACTTATATAAACTGTGTTGAATTTTTTTCAGTTAATCTACATTCGAACCTCTTCTTTTGTTTGTATGAACTTTCATTTGTTAATAACTTTTTATTAAATGATGAGCGACGGTTAAAACCTTTTAAAGATTATTCAAAATCATAACTTTGACAACAAATATCAGCCAGAAATCTTTTGGATCTAATTATTTAAAGATTATATAAATATTCATTTCAATTATTTCTGCTATTCTTTCATATATAATGTTGAATTTTTTTATTCGTACTTTGTATGTATACCAAGTGCGGTTAAAAAATTCAATATTCTGTATAAAAGAATAATATAAATAATTAAGGTAAATATATATATATATATAGTTGCTGTTGATAAATGTTAAAAGCAAATTTGCATTTGCAACCTTATTGGTTGATTCTTACGGTTACATCTATACTTACGGCTACGGAATTTGTATGCTATGGCCTTAAGTCAACTATACGATAAAAGCTCGTATTTGTTTATTGCTGCGAGATTAAAAATGCTATAAATTTACGTTGAGCAGATTAAATGTATTCACTCATACGCAAACTCTTATCAGTTTCTAATTTCTAGATTTGAAATATTATCCACATAATTTAATTTAGTTATTATCTCTGATATTTGTAATATAATATATTTTTAGACATAATTCACTTGGCTTGCCGACTGTTTACAATATGAGAACAAAATTATCAGAGAGAATTTTTTTTTTTTTTTAATTGAGTCCCAATAAAATTCCATGAGAATTCCGTGATTTTTCCAGGTACAAAAGAAAATCCCTAAAAATTCCAAGTTTTCCATGTTTTTCCAGGGAGAAAGTAGACACTCTGAATTATTATATATATAGAGCAAATAATTTCTTTTTTACAAATTTTTTCCGCGTATTACCAACAGCAACGGGGGAGATATTTCAGATGATAAAGAAATAGAAATTCTACATGATACACCATGCCTGAAAGACTTAAAATCGAGAGCCTATAGGCAAAGTGGGTGCCTTCCTCGCCTCGTGTATTCGGCACTGCCTTAATTCAAGGTCATGTCGTCTATCGACAACACAGAGGCAAAGAAACACGTCCTTCACGGCTCAAGTACACCTACTCTCGTGGTTGGCATGCTGCTAAGCTAAGCTGAAATTTTCAGTTGTTCGTTATCGACAATGACCGAACACCAGAGATGATGACATCGGGCGAGATTTCGTGCAGTAGAAAAGTTTGCGCGCTCGCGCACCACACAGCTGTTAATTTCCTAGGTATGTATCTCCAATGCAATAGTGTGTCTAACGATAAATACACGTGCCGTGCAAAAACGATGAGTAACGGATAGAATGCGACAGGCACCGAGCAAACGCGATCAGCACGCGAATGTCACGAGGGGACTGAATGTTAGCTGCTGATACGTGAGAGAGGAGATGACTATATTTCTATCCCCTCCTCATACTTGTTAATTTCGTCTTTCTTGTTTTGCTACCGCTCGTTATTCCCTGTCCGACCGGCTATTGTATCTTTCGTTATGCTCTCTTTATGATAATGTTTTATTTCTTCGTGTCAATTCTATAAGAGATAGTATTTTATATTTTATCTGTCGTATAAAAGTGCGTGCGTATCAATCGAAGCACAAATAAGGCAGACTTCTTCTATGCTTTTTATTTTTCTCTCGCCGCTTTTTATCTTTCTCAAGTACGCTTACATACGCTATTACGTATGCTATAAAATTCATCTTGAATTATTTTGTGCAATTTAAGAATCAGAAAAAAAAAACAAATTATAAAATATCTATATTAATAAATAAAAAATGAATACTTTTATGTTTGTGGTAGTTTCGGTATACAAAGAAAAAGATTTTTTTGACCGATATGAATTGGATTTATACAAAATAAAAATTAAAACATAACATTGAATTTTATTTATACTAAAATACTTTTAATACGAATTAAACTATATACATGCTAAAAGATGTTGTTCTCTTCAAAATTATATTTTTAGAACTGATTGGCATAACAACTACGGAAACGAATATAAAGAAAAAAGTCAAATAATTTTAAAAGACCTACATTTTAATCGTCCTAGTTTTTTTTAGGTAAAAACGCCAAAAAGTTTGAAAGATTATCTCAAATTTTTTAAATGAAAAGCCCTGTTTTTAATTAGCTATAATTATAGAGGATGAAAAGATGAATCCAACGACCGTAGTCCAACGACACTTTGACTGTACGGTGATCTTGAAATGAAAATAGATATTTTAAATCAAAAAATTGATTAAAAATAGGGCTACTCATTTAAAAAAATTTAGGATAATCTTCAAAACTTTTTGGCACCTCCATCCAAAAAAAATTAAGACGACAAAATGTAGTCCTTTCAAAATAATTTAACTTTTGTCTTATTAGAAGGTACTTTCTAGTGACTCATAATGTCGAGATATAAAATCTATTAGATAATAATTTTGAAAATTTTCAATTTTTGTCAAAAAGAAAATTAATACTGTATCATCGATTAAATACTTTAATTAAATAATCAGTAAAAATTAAAAGTTTAATTTTAGAATTAGCTTAAATAGAAAAAGGCTATCCGTTTCTCAATTCTATTATTTAACAAATTTTACACTCAAACATCTCAATTATATTAATCGAATGAGTCATTAAGCACTAACGATATCAAAGTAATTTGTCTAAGTGAATATTTCAGATAAGATATTTCTCTGTACTGTACATTTTTTTTTAATGTATATTAGTTTAACACTCTAATTATTTCTTACAGTTTAGGATTAATAAAATTGCTAACCTCATCGGGTTCCCCGTTTTTCTTCTCACGCATCATCTTTTTTTTCCTTCATATGGATACAATTAAATCGCCATCTTTCCGAAAACATTTTCAGATCACTAGATAACATCTATTTCATTGTGATAAAAACCATACTTTCACGTATGTATTTAGGTTTGTAATCAAAAACCAGTGTTCTGTTTTTTTTTGCCGTTTAGATTTGTCATGCATATATCATAATTACTGCAATTATGAACATGATGTAAAAAGGTAAGATGTTTTTGTTACATAGATGCGTAGTAGCCGATCATCAGAAATTGTTCACAAATATTAAGAGCATTACGGCATTTTTATATGCGTGTGTGGGCAAAATCTGGTCAATTATTACTACACTATTATGCGCATGCAGTTACCTTGGATTATTATATCATGGTTACAAATATGAAAAACAACCATAAAAATAGTAGAGAAAAGATACCAAAAGACAACATATTACTTTTTTACATTCTAATCTCTAGCTGAAAATTTGAAATAAGAATTTATATCTATACATGTACTTATCGAGTATACATATATTATCTCTAGTAAGTATACAGAAATTACCGTATCAAATCGTATTACAGTTTTAACAATACTGTTTCAAGCTTTTGATAGTTTAAAAATACATTGTTTTTTTATTTATTTATAAAAATTAATATATACTTTTGAGAAGAACGCGCGTTTTTATCTTTTGAAATGGAAAATTTTAAGGGGGAAAATTTTTATACGCGAGATATTTATAAAAGATAAATACAGATAAAATCAGCTAATTTTTTTCTTGTATTCATTGAATTGAATACTTCAAAGCAAAATTTTGATGTACAAGTTACAGGGTGCGACGATATGTGGGGGAACAATTTAATCTAATTTTTCTAACTGCACTGTAGACAAGTAATAAAGATAAAAACAAAAATAAAACAAATGTAAAAAGTAGAAACATAAGATAAGAATAATGTAATATTATCAAACATAACGTAAGAATAATTTCTAATATTATCAAAAAAGATATAATAAATTAATGCGTAATTCGTCAAAGGAAAAAGTAATTTTGCATTTCAAAAACTTGATTTAGTATATAAACGGGAAAGGAATGGATTTTTATCGTAAGTAAACTAAGTAAGCGGACCAAATTCATATCAATTCATATCAATAAAATGCGGTATCTAATAACTAAGAAATTTGCACTCAAATGTCAGTTTTGTTATCTTTTCCCTCTCTAATATCTCTTC